TTTCACAACAACGCCTTAGATGAACTGGCTGCATTCGCCGACCGCATTTTAGAAATCACGAAATTTAATGCCGAGGTTTTTTCAGTCAAAGAAAGGCCTCAAGCGACACAGAAGTACATAACAGAGTTATGTCATACCCTTACACGTTATCTTGAACTTCGCAACGGCCGTAAGCGATCACACACCCCTCGAAGGAGCACTTCACGTAAACGATCTGTCTCTGGACCATGAGAGTTAGATAACCCCGACTGGTGCTAGTATCATAACCAGTATGGAAACTCCTCCAGAAATGTCAGAAAATCCTGCAGTTTTCCCAACTAAAATCGACCAACACGAAAAACAATTCGAGAAACTTTCAAGCCGGCACGCGTTAACAGCATCCGTAGCCGTCACAGATGTGACAATGAGAGTTCGCTACCTCGTCGACACTGGCGCAGAAGTTAGCGTTCTCCCAGCGAATCCCAACGACCGACTTCACGAATCGACCCTAAACTTACAGGCGGCAAACGGAAAACCGTTCGCTACTTATGGCGAAAGGTACGTTTACCTTAACGTGGGTTTACGCAAGCCCATCCACTGGATCTTCGTTGTTGCAGATGTATCTATGCCAGTCATTGGTATGGACCTTCTACAACACCATAATCTGATCATCGATACGCGCAAACGGAGGCTAGTAGACGGAAACACTAATTTATCCGTTTGCGTAACTTCCTTCTCTGGCTGCAGATTATCCCCAGTCACAATTAAGCATATGATAGACCCACTTTATCAGCCACTACTCGATAAGTACCCTGGCATACAACAAACTCAACCGAAACTACCGTGTGTAACCAGCAACGTTACACATCACATCACGACTACAGGACCACCTGTATTCTTTAAAGCACGACGACTAGACCCCGAAAAGCTAAGGTTGGCGGAAACCGAGTTCGACCACATGGTAGACTTAGGAATCATACGATCGTCAAATAGCCCATATGCATCTCCGTTGCACATGGTCCCTAGAAAGGACAGCAACGATTGGCGTCCAACTGGAGACTATCGGCGATTGAATGCGGAAACCATTCCCGATCGTTACCCGTTGCCTCACATTCATGATTTGACAGCTACCTTGAAGGGTGCAACTGTTTTTTCGAAAATCGACTTGGTTAAAGCGTATAATCAAATCCCTATGGCTACATTCCGTAAACCGCCATCATTACTCCCTTCGGACTCTATGAATTTTTGCGAATGCCTTTCGGTCTAAGAAATGCTGCTCAAACATTCCAAAGATTCATAAAGGACGTTTTTCGAGGTCTCAACTTCGTACATGCGTATGATAACGACTGCCTAATCGCAAGTCCGGACAGAGAATCACATCTCAAGCATCTGGATCTTGTTTTCGAACGGTTACAAAAACACGGTGTTGCTGTAAACATTCAGAAATTCCAAATCGGGACTGACCCTTTAGACTTTCTAGGACACACTATCGATGCTCAAGGCATTCGACCTCTTAGAACCAAAGTGGCGGCCATTCTGGATTACCCAGAACCGACCGCCATCAAGCATTACACACATTTAACGGCCTTGTAAGTTTCTACAGACGATTCATACCGAAATGTGCGTTACTCATGAAACCTCCTACCGACCAACTTCGTGGAAATGCGAAATCCATCAATCTGGACGACAACGTGCGAAAAGCATTCTCCACAGTTAAGGAACTTATCGCTCAAGAAACAATGCTTGTTCATCAGGACACTGAAACACCCATTGGTATGTCAGTAGACGCATCCGACTCAGCAATCGGAGGAGTCTCACATCAATGGGTTAACCATGTTTCGTCTCAATCTGCATTTGTTGTTGCGTTTGCGATAGAGAAGCCAGATCACATGAGTAGTCTAGATGATTCAGCTGCATCCAAGCTGTCCACTGTATCCCGTGCTTCCCTTCAGATGTTGACGTCTTCATGATCCAGTCGATCACCAGGAATGTTGGAGACATTAGATCCACAGAACTCACTTGGGAAAGAACCTGATTTTGTAATTTTATTTAGAAAATTTGAATTCCTTTGCTTTCGCGCCAACGGCGCTCTTGGGATTTTCATGTCGTATTTCCCACTGGGAAATATCTTAAATGCTATTGATCCGTTACGTCTTTTAGCATGCTATTTGGTACTGTACATATACGCTTTGAATTGCGTTTTTTGTTATCGCTCGTTTCTGGCTGTTTGCAGAATTTACTTCCCCATTCCAGGCTTGGACTTCTCGCTTTAGTTAGCGGGGCTGGGACGCATCAATAGCTAGCTTACTGGTCTTTGGTCACCGAGTCTTGTTTCTCGTTCGCAGATTAAGTGAACTCGTGATGGCTTCGAAAATTCAAGATAGCCCTCAGCAATACAATCCAGTCCTTTCATGATCTACTCCCTTTCCAGTTGCACTCCATAGTAGTTCCTTCTCCATTGAGTAGACCATGAAAGGTCTGGAATTTATTGCTGAGGGCTATCTTGAATTTGTTGAGTTTGTCAAAATTCCGAAGAAAAGCCGTATTGAAAGATAGATCGTGTACAGACCAAATCGCAACTTTACGGATCATTGTGGAACAATCAATTGAGTAAAATTCATCACTCTACATCAACTTCATTGACTACGAAAAAGCACTTGATAGTGTGGACAGAACAACACAATGGAAGCTTCTTCGATACTACGACGTGCCTCCGAAGATAGTCAATATCACACAGAATTCCTACGATGTATTAAACAGCAAAATCATGCATGGAGTAGAGGTCACAGGCTCGTTCGGTGTCAGACATGGTTGCTTACTCTCACCCTCTCATCGTATCGTAACAATTAACAACTTAATGTCTAGAGTTTCTAAAGAACACATTTAGGCTAAAGATACAGTAATATATTTAATGTAAAGTATACAGCATGACTACGTTCGCGAGACTGAGCCATGCCATCCGACTGAACTCAATTCATTTCTCCTGCCTTTTCCATTGTTGGTCTTCTCTCCGTGTCAAATGTCAAATATTTTTTCCCAATTATCTCATGTTCAGCTTTGAAGGTTTTGTGCTGAAGGCTTAATGCCACTACGATTACACAGGTTGGATTAACAAGTTGTTAGTTACTACGTCTCTACTCTCCGATTTATGAGGCGAAATGATTCACGCCTCTTTCTATGCTCTTGGCATTTTAGACTGCCGCAAAGTCATTTCAAACAGTATGGTAGAGATTCAGCGGACACATCCGTCAGGGCCTTCACAATCTTATGATAAATGCCCTACGTCAATAAATTACCAAGACTGCTTAAGTCATCGGAGTTTCTGTTTGCAGATGATGTCACAGTCGGAAAAACAATAAATAGTGAGAGTGCTCATATCAATCTCCAAGTCGGATTAAATGATTTATTCTGGAGATCTTAGAGCTGGAGATTCTAGACTAATTATAGAAGGAATGCACCAATGTACATTAGGCATGGTAACATTCATTAGTATACTTTCAGTAGTACATTGATTCCACAGGCTCAGGAAGAACATAAATAGGAGTGGTAATGATTCATGGCTTGTCAACAGCTGTGACTTGTAATGTATTACTTGCCAAAGATTTTTGAAGGATATGGTCAATTCATTGAGCATCTGAATTCCTTGATGAGGATGCGTTTTGAATTTTGTGCCCTACTTATGTGAGATGTGAGCAGCTAGTCCATTCCACATTGAGGATGCCAGCACACTCAATTGTGTTCAACGTGTGTAAACTAAGCGACTGATAGGTCTTCCTATATCCTTCACTAATGAGTGATTAAAAGTGAAGATTCCACAGGTATTGGGAATTTGAAAACGCCTTTACACGCAATACTTTTATGATCGGAGTATACGACATGTTGAGAAGCGTTTGATCTCAGCTGGTTAGTATTTACAATGGATGAGTAGAACGATATACCCACTCTTGTTCTGGTGCGATGGCATGACCGAGAACCTACGAATAGGTCAGCATCAATGTCGAGGGTGGGCAGAACAGTTTGTTTCAGGAATTTGTTTACCGCTATAAAATGTTTAAACTTCTTTCCTTCATCCTGGGACGCGAGATGACCTTATACTGGCATTCCGTATCAATAATAACGATCTGGGTGTTAAACTGTTTGATCTTTACGTCCGCTCTAGAACTAGTTCTCTCCGAGGTAACACTAATAAAATCTAAAACCACGATCAAATAAACTAGGAGTGGGATCCCATTTCGCAATTACTGGAGCACCCTACCACAGTACATTGCATTAACTACACCAGTGAACATTTTTAAGGAGAAGCTGAGTTTCTACTGGAAAATAAATTGGAAAAGCTAACTCAGATCAATCAATCTACTATCCATATTGATAAATTCTTAAGAATTAAGGACTGTGTCTCGTAACAGTTTATTAATAATTCTCTTCTGCTTGTATCAAACACCTATGTGTTTTCCTGGAAGCATTATTGATCGATTTCTAATAGACTTGACAAACCCTGGAGTGGAAGCATTTTTACTCGGTCCAGAAACAAAACTAAGAGGTAATACCCTAAAAGTGGAAACACAACTCAACAGAACGAACTACAAACACAACGTCTAACCCTTAAGAGTAGCCAAGTGCTGGAAACTCACTAACGGCTGCGCTAGTCCAAACGACTTCCCATGAGTCCTTTAAAAGAAAACTCGACATATTCTCAAGGACTTAGGATAGTATCTTACTATGATTCAACGACTTCTTTTTACTCTTTTATCGGCAATATACCCATGATCTTGCCTGGAAGTATTGATCATTTACAGCTATTAAACACAGAAGCCCGTTAAGCGAAAACTTTCATTCCGTTCACAACCACTTGGACCATTCGAGGTCCAATACTAAAAGAAGTAGGATGATTAGTTTAACCAAATCGAAACAAACTATAAGCTTTCAAAAGCATACTAGGGAAACATAAGTTATCATCGTTTCATCTTTTAATCAGTGTTTGAAGATCTGTGAATTTAAGTGCGATGTGCAAATTTAGGGGTGGCACTAATTTAAAGTCAAGGACATTTCGATGTGTCCAGCCATAAATCCAGATTTGTCATTTCCGAGCATCGTATGTTTATACCTGCACATACTTTACCATTTCAGAAATCGAATTATGGGGTAGCGTTGTTGGACCGATTGACGAAGAGTGTACTTGGAATTCCTACTCCTGAAACCGAGTTAAAACCTCAAAAGTTAAAAGAACATTTTGAGGGTGCGTTGTACGAACTGTTTTTACTCAAGTCGAGGCTGCAAGAAAAATGTTCTCAGATGGAGGTGAGTCTTTAGAAATGGTGTCTAATTTTGTATTTATTGATCAGATGGTTACTTACGTACTTACGTCAGTTAGCTTTCATAAGTTCGTAGGCCTACGACCAAGGTTCTTTAACCAACCTTGTCCCTATTGCTGTTCATTCTCTTGATGTGTGCTACCGATTCTCGACGCAATGTGTTCTTGGGTCCTCTTTTTCATTTGACTTAAGGATTCCAAGTAAGGACTAGCTTCATGATGCAGTTTGAAGATTCCCACAATGCGCGTCCTATCCGCTTCCTAATTTCATCTTCATCTGGAAGTTGGTTTGTTTTCTGTCGCAGTAGGTTGTTGCTGATGTCATCCGACCAACGGGTCTAGAGTATGTTGCATAGATAATTGTGCATAAATACCTGTACTTTTCTGGTAATGGTTGTAGTGGTTCTCTACGCTTCAGCTCCGTACAACAAAACTTTTTTAACGTTCTTGATGAATATGACTACTGGTTGGGTTCAAATATATAATGGTTTCCTAGCTTAACATGAAGTATATTCAGAGGTTGTTAAATTAAAAGGTTACTCAACGTGACTAGTTGAATATTTCGTGGTTTAAGTTTTTAAAATGCATTGTAGGATGTTCAGCGCCTCCATTTTTCTCGCTGACTTTCTAGTGTGCTTAAAATTTATGTGTAAGCTTTGGGGATTTTGACCAGATTCAGATGCTTCAAAACGTTCTAATTTTTTGGTTACCACGTTTTAATACAAATGAACGTCATATGGCCTTGGTTAGATCTAAACGTTGTCATGAAATGTGGTCAACATTAACTATTTAAGACCAATCGTACAACTGATCGCATGAGTAATAACAACTGAAATAGTCGTCCCTGAAATCTAAAGATTGTTGGGGTCAGATCTGAACACTGATTACTTTAGGGGATTTCATTTACTTCTATAATCAATTATCTGTTTACGGACATGTTAGCCTCCCATAGTAGTATATTGGCTGTAGGCATTACCACTTAAGGGCTCCCAGTTTTAAGTTCAAGCATCATCTTTTCTTTAACACTTCTATTTTTAGTCTTAACTAATAAAAGCCTTGTATGTGTTAGGAACTTTCATCTGCTTTTGCAACCTCAAGTGGTATCCGTTAAGGCTCTCCACTTTCTCCATTTCTGTTCAACTTCATCATAGACCTATTGATGGAAATAACGCTCTCATCGACTGGATTCTCGGGCATTGATCTTCTACCAGTAGAGGTCCACTTATCGACTTAGAATACGCAGATGACATAGTCCTGTTTGGTGAAGACGCTGATAAAATGCAGAGTCTTTTAGTGGCACTGAGCAACAACGCCAGAATGTTTGGAATGCGCTTCTCCACCTCTAAATGCAAGTTGTTACTTCAGTACTGGCCTGCGTCAACACCCGAACAAAGATAGGGAGTGAAGTAGTCGAACGCGTTGACGACTTCACATATCTTGTGTTAGCGGGACATAGACTAGATTAAAGCATGCTCAATGCATGATTGTTTTGGTGCACGCTGATTGGCTGATTCTTATCCAATCAGCACTAGTCGATAGTCGGAGAATACTCTGGAATCTTCTTATGTAGAAACTATAAATATACCGACGTTTTCCCCTATTGTGCTTCTGACTTGCTATTTGGAATATAATCTTTTTTTCCTGTTCAACCGTGTTCTGATTTGGGGACTTGTCGAGTGAATCGGTGTCCGAGAATACTAAGCAATAGGAATAGCTGGGTCATTAACCGTAAGAAGAACAGAGTTATAACAGTGGCGACGGGGAAAAACTAAAGAAAAATGGCGGTTTCTTTAGAACAGTTGCGGTTAATATTACAGCACCAGCAGAAGTTGTTAGCCTTGCAACAACAACTATTGAACACGCTTTTCACTCGACCAGAAAATAAGAAATCTGTTTATGATGCAGTAACAGACATTTCAGAAGCATATCTAGTGGAGGGTTCAAATCCCTTTATACCTGAATCAGAACGTAATATTTGTAACATGTCCGGCTCACAGCAAGAAAATACTGTGCTGAATGCTCATAAAGTTGTGGCAATACGAAATGATCAAGAGCCAGACCCTGTAGATGAAGCCTGGAGTCCAGAATTGAATGAAACACTACTGGCCCTGTCTAGCTCTGAAAATAAACTTCAGCTAGAAGAAAATTATGGTCCACGTGATATTAGCCGAAAAAGCTATGGGGACTCGTATTCAGAAAATAACTGCAGTGACACGATGAACCCAAATATACTGAATGTTACTCAAAATCATTGTGAGACAGAAATTTATACCGAATCAGCTTATCCGATTTCTAATGACAATGTATCAGATATGGGTTCTCAGAACAATGCATGTTATTTTGATGAAATTTCTCATAAAAATCAGGAAAATATATCAGCTGAGTCAAATTATGGTCAAAAGTCTAATTTAATTTTGTTAGATGATGATTTCTGTAATGATCCATTATCCATGATGAAATTCCTAATGAATTTGAAAGTAATGCTTCAGAAGAATTAAACTTTGACCTCAAATCAAAGGTCGTTCATTATCATCTAGTCGTTTCTAGTGGATCCGACATTCAGTGCGAGAAACGTCGTTTAAATAAAGTCCTATTATTTGTAACTTGGAGATATAAGGATCCGACATTGTTTCGCGGAGGAGGAGAATGTTGGAGAACTAAAAGTTATGCATACTTTTTTTAAGAAAAATCAAAACGCCGGGAACAGACATGTCAGTCTCTGTGCAAGGAAAAAGTGATAATTCTTCATTGCCTAGACGATGGACTAATCGAAAGCACAAGCCAGTCACTCGGTTGCAGTTGGACCCTAGCACCAGATCCTACGAACCTGCTCAGAGGGGAGGTGTTAGCGGGACATAGACTAGATTAAAGCATGCTCAATGCATGATTGTTTTGGTGCACGCTGATTGGCTGATTCTTATCCAATCAGCACTAGTCGATAGTCGGAGAATACTCTGGAATCTTCTTATGTAGAAACTATAAATATACCGACGTTTTCCCCTATTGTGCTTCTGACTTGCTATTTGGAATATAATCTTTTTTTCCTGTTCAACCGTGTTCTGATTTGGGGACTTGTCGAGTGAATCGGTGTCCGAGAATACTAAGCAATAGGAATAGCTGGGTCATTAACCGTAAGAAGAAAGAGAGAGTTATAACATCTTGGAACTCTGATCAGCCGTAATGGGTTGGTGTCTGACGAAATCTCAGCACGGATTCGAAAATCTCGTTCGGCTTTTGCCAACTCATGTCACGTATGGCGAAGGCGAGGTATCCGTCTGTCAATTAAGGGACGAGTGTACTGTGCAGCAATCCGTTCTGTTCTACTTTACGTCTGCGAAACGTAGTCAATAAAAGCATACAATACTCGTGAGTTACTAGTATTTGGTCACAGATGCCTTATAAATATTGCCAGCATCTGCTGGGATCACCGGGTAAGTAATAGTGAGGTTAGAGGTAAGGTATTATGGGATGGTGGTAAATCAGTTGATGAGGTTGTAAATCTTCATCGACTGAGATGGTTGGGTCACGTGTTACGTATGCCTGAACACCGAATACTACGACGCGCAATGGTGATTAGTGTTGGGGATGGTTGGAAGGAAGTTGATGGCGGCCAAAGCAAAACGTGGCATCAGTGCCTGAAGTCACTAACATGTGGTCTGAGCCATGTTGTTAGATGCAGACTACTTGGTTGGGATTCGCACGACTATCGTAACCAATGGTTGGAGACTCTTGGTGACATGGCTCAGAATCGATCACAATCGCGTCGGTGTATACACTGTTTGTTTTCCCTTAAACTATGAGATTAAAATTATTTCATATCTTTCTTTTTATGAAGCAGTTCTTTTTTCCTGTACCATATCCTTATATGCAATCTTTCTTTTATATATTACCACCACTACTTTGATGAATTCGGTGTTCATCTTGTTGTGCTAATGAGGTATGGCAACTTGGCCCGATGCACATATGTGTCTAGTCCTACGCTGTAGCTGACGGACTGATGTGTCGGGAAACTTAACCGAAGAAGATTTGTAGTAATTGTTATGACTTTATGTCCGGCTTTTTATCACGTGATTTGTCCACCAACCAAAAACGACTTATACAATCTTAGCACTGTGCTAAAACCAATCACGTTTAACCGGTATGGGCAGCCTAGCGTCTTCTTTGGCCATGTCTGTCCAGCCCGTCCAGAACACAAATACCAGCTTCCTATATGCGAATCGAATCGAATCTTTTATTTCAGACATAATGGGTTTATATATCAACCAAACAGACTGCAACGCACCGTATGATAGGAAATAATATTTGTACACAATAAAGCCAAAAAGTGACTGTGAATGCGGGAGGCAGTAGTCAATACACTGAACATAGCTTAAGAACAGTAAATCTTACAATAATAAATTATAGGTCAAAATAAAGCTTACAACAAGGGGAATATAGATATACATAATCTAGTTACCTAATATTTATACCATGAGGATATATAAATAATAATAGTCCATTAATAAGTCGCAGACGTTACTCGTAATGTAATCTTTACTAGGATATAACAGTAATCGCTCCAGAATTTCGACTCCATGACAGTACATGTCGACCAAATATTATCTGAGACTGGTTACATAACCTTTTTGTTAGTAGTTATTCTCGATTTCACAGTGTGTTTTGTAGATTTTAAACCTGACAACTAGCACATGAAGTTTTGTGTTGTTTCCAAAGTTGCTCTCTTCCAACCTCTGTGTAAAAAATAGTGTCTGAAAATGCTAGTTTCTCATTAGGGAGAGAGAGAAAGCTTACTCTCTCCAATAACTGGTGCTGTCAATTTACCACCTTGCCCAGGTAACTATATGGTCCTACTAATTATATTGCATCAGGCTGTTCACCCTCTTAGATGGCAACTCTTCTTTAAACCTGTCGAAATGTTAAGCTATTGAAGATATTCTCGATAGCAACTGCTGTCAGACCTTAATAGTTAAAGTTGGCAGCAACCAATATATATATATATATATATATATATATATATATATATATATATATATATATTGATACATCAGTTGTACATTCGTCACTTCCTCAAACAAAATCTGAAGTTGTTAGCAGGTAATCTTTATCGGTATGGATATGAGGTTAGTTGATCTGTGTTTATTTTCTTGATTTGCAATACTATAAAAAAACAATTCCATTCTAAGTGTATCAAGGGAAGCTACTGATATAACCTGTTCTAGTATAGAATTCCAGTAATTAGTAACATAATGAGTAGAAGATCATTCTCTCAGTTCTATGTAACATGGTTCAATCGTGACCGCGATTCTGCAAATATATCCATCTATTGTTTTACTTCCAACCTCCATCCTACATTTACTTTACATTTTCCACTTATTCGTTTGTTTGTCCACTTTATCTTTCCTGCATCTCGTTCATTTCCTGTGATCTGATACTTTAATGTATACTCGTTCAAAAAGTTTTGTGTCCCTATGCTGAAATATTATGGATATGTCTTATTGTATATTATGAGACTAAAAGGTTTCTGAATTAGGTAATTATAATCTTAAAGTGATAATAGATTGTAACCTCTAGCAATATCATTCGTTTTTGACTTAGGAAAACTAAGGATTAGACTAAGTGGAAATAACGATGAATTTCACTGCTTATAACTTCCACGTACTTCTTATGGAAAGTATTATCATAATTATTTAGGTTTTTTGAACTTTCACAACACAGGTAAAATGTCGAGAGGATGAGCGGTCATTTCATTCTGCTATCGAAAGGTTAAAAAAGGATTTAACTGATCTTAGTCAGCAATTCTGCAAGTTAGATACCGAAGTTCATATGGTATCTGGAAAGTTGGTCCATTTAGGCGACCAGTTAGAAAGAAAAAACTTGCCAAGAAAACGAATTGAAGAGGCACGTGATTTGATACTTGAATTTTATAAATTCTGGGGTTTTGGTGGAGGAAGTGTCACCAATGTAGTAAGCGCTCAATCGGATGAAGCTCAGGTAAGTTACCTTTCGATATAACCTGAAGAATAAGCCTTGTTATATTATGTGAATCAAACTGTCCGGAAATATTTTTCTTATATTTTCTAATAGTCAGAATAACCTATTTTCTCCATATGAGATGCTTAAAATTCACAATCAAAGTAGCGTACTTCAATGTACTTTGTTGTGCAAATAATTATTTCTTTTAAAAAGAGTTGGAAAAGTTCGAGCAGATTGACATGAATTCATTTTATTTCGTCTAGTTCTCGTCAGCTACTTACAACTTATTATATTTATCTTCTAGATTAGTGGTCTTTCTTAGCTAATCTGACTTATTTTATTCCTACTTATTAAAGTTTGCTCACCATATAACCACTTGTTTTTAACCCTGCAGACTTTTGTTACTACCGATTTTATTGAACCTTCTTTTAAGTAAGATATATATTTACAACATTGTATTTTGTCTGTTAAATTCACGCACACCCTTGCTATACCATACTGATGTGTGATCATATCAACTTCTTAGATTTCGTTATTGATCGTGAAACTGCATCATTCAAGTTTCATAGCTTTGTATAAGGTGCTATCTTATTCATTGTATGTGTTAATCGTCCTAGAATCGACACTTCATTTATTTGCCACTTTTCACCAACAGTTCAAACTTGTATCTCAACACATTTTACTAGTCATTGGCAGACACTTAATTTCCGAATTAGTGTTTTCGTATTTGTCAGTTTTTACTCAATCAAGACCTAGTCTGTATATGTCTAACGACAGTTTAGAGAAATATGATGAATTTATATTCTTCTAACCGTCATTTGTTCAGTTTTGGGAAGGAAACCAGGTGCTCATAAATAAGTATTAATTGGATTTTATGGTGATAATAGGGGAAATATTTATGTGACAAACGCTTGTATAAAATTGAGCCGTTAAGACAGCTCGTTATTACTAAACTTAATAGAAGAGTGGTTATGGTTATCAATCCTGAATGAAAGTGAATTTTATTCTTCTTTAAAAGATATGATGACAAAATGAAATTTCTAGTATGCACTTTCTAAATACTCATACTCATGCTTAAACTTCAAATCTTATTTAGTGCTTTAATTTTATGCATTGTAAGGTTTAGCGTATCTGAATAAAAAGTTAGTGAACGAGTTTTTCACCTTACTTTCTTAGCTACTTGAGGCCGCCACTCGGTTCAAAAATCTGAGTTCGTTGTGCTTGGAGTTACCGGATGATGAACGTTTTTTAAATGCAAAACAAAGAGTAACAGGTTTGTCCTTTTTACTGGATTTCTAACGTAATTAATTTCAGTCGCCTGTCAACACTTGGATACAGCTTTACTTGAACGATTTAGAGCAAATTTCCTTACGGGAAATATTGAGACAATGAAGAGCATAGCAGATGTACTTCTTCTTTCCAAAAACTACTCTCAATGTGCTGAGATCTTGGTTGAAGAAACAGTAAAGGTAAATTTATTTTATATACTTCTTTCGAAACATCAGTTTCTCTGTTAGACTGTTTACGTTTATAGCTTAAAAATTTGTAGTTTCGACAAAGTTTCGGCAAGAAAGCTTGAGGATCAGTACATTTATTATCGAATTTCTGGAAATAGGATTACCGACTATACTGGGTTGAACCGGCAGTATGATGTTTCTCACAGGTAATCAGAATGTTGAAAAGTGCTTCTTTTCTGTTTTTAAGATGAATTAGATGTCTTCAAAACACAAATGTGCCTACTTCACTGTGTTCCAGTTAGTCGTCATCAGCAAAGTCTGGAATAAGTGTGCATCACCCGAAGTTTCCATACCATATTAGCTCAACGAGATGAACTTCACAAGATGAATAGAAAAAAAAACTGAAATGATGTAGTAGCAATGATAATGAAAAAAGTTCATACTGGGATCAGACAACCTTGAAATTTCACTTTCTTTACGTTCCACTGAAAATAAGGCCTCTGAAAAGATCTTTGAGTAAAAGGTCAATATGAAACAGTCAATATGCAATATCTATAACTAGTTTTTATTGAGTAGGAAAAGTCGAATTGCTTTTATTTCTCCAATTTAAATGACTATTTTCTACACGTTATGGTTCCATAGTCACTATCTACTAATTTGTTTATTCTTATCATAATTTTCGTACATTTCTTTCATTCGTTTTATTGTTAACAGACAATAGATCCCAACAAGATTCATTTTAAAGATATTACAAGGTGCTTGGTTTCGAGTGAAAAGCTAATTATGACCTTATTTTTACGACCAGATTCAGTTCTGATGCAACTAATGCATAGTCTTTTCACAACAAAATTAAAAGTATGTCAAATAAATGACAGTTATACATTACCTAACATTATCGTTGGTAGTACACTTCTGGAAACTCGGTTTTTATTTGAACTTCATTGTCATGTGATTTGTTTTAATCACTTTTATTTTCAGCATTCTTTCATTAATTTCCAACCAACTCTGATGTTTGAAGATTTGATACTACGTACTGAGTAACTGGTTTATATAACTAACAATTTTTTTATATGTCTCGTTGCAGTTTGAATGCTCTTACTGAAAATACCTTAATGACTAAATAAATTATATGCGTATGAGTACTGCAAAAGAATTTTTCTCTTGTTGGATTAGACCTTTATTGATAAAGGTCGAAATCCGAATTCTTCTAACTAGATGCCAGTGTTGTACTGAAAGTTAATTTTATGCATTTCTTGAATTACATTAATAATTAAATAATTTGAAATAAAACATGCATATGATTAAACACTTGATTGAGTTATTTTTTCATGTATGAAAAATGAATGTAAAATTATTTCAAATTAGATGTTCCTGTCAATAGACGAAATGATTCCTTAAGCTAACATTTTCTCAGGCACATTTCTTTCTGGAATGAATTCAAAGAATGCTTTTAGGTTTTCAGAATAGTAGTCAGTCGTTCACATAATAATACAGGCTCTGATAAATACATTTGATCCAAAGAACTTAATTACTTACTTACGTACTTAGGCCTGTTACTCCTAACCGACCATAGGCCGCTGACCAGCATTCTCCAACCCACTCTGTCCTAAGCATTCCTTTACAGTTCTATCCAATTTTTGTCCATTTTTCTAATATCTGTCTCCATTTCCCGGCGTAACGTGTTATTTGGTCTTCCTCTCCTACTTCGGCGTTCAGGATTCCATGTGAGAGCTTGCCTTGTGACACAGTTGGGTTCTTTCCTAAATCTGTGTCCTATCCACTTCCAGCGCTTCTTCCTGATTTCTTCCTCCGCTGGAATCTGGTTTGTTCTCTCCCACAGTAGGTTGTTGCTGATGATGTCTGACCAACGCATCGAAAGAATTTTGCATAGGTAACTGTTAATAAACACTTGTATCTTCTGGATGACGGCTTTCGTAATTCTCCAAGTTTCCGCCCCATACAGTAGAACTGTTTTGATATTTGTATTGAAAATCCTGATCTTGGTGTTGACTTGCAGTCGGTTGTTTTGAGTTTCAGATGTTCTTCAATTGTAAATATGCTGCTCTTGCTTTGCCGATCCGTGCCTTCACATCTGCATCAGATCCACCGTGTTCATCAATGATGTTGCCCGTGCCCAACCTTCCTCCTTTATCCGGGCTTGGGGTCGGCGGTAGCCCCAGAGGGGCTCCAGGCGGAGTTCACTCAATTTAATACGAATTTATTTCCAATTCAACCAGAACAATATAATCGAATGATCGTTTGACATGCCCTAAACACAACCAAGTTACACCAATCAGTTTGGGCTCACAAGTTCATTGATTGCCTTGCGTCTCTTAATTACAAAATGATGCGTAATTTTAACACTGCCCCACCTCACATGATCAACACTTCGAAGACATATGATGTACTACTATCATATAGTTTTGGAGATAAACCTTTTGTGTATATGACAGTTGGCAAGCAAAGTTGATCCGGGTGCTTTGTGCATATCCTATGTAATTTTACTAAGCTTATATTTTATCTTTTATGACTGCTTCATATTAACTAAGTTCGCTAACACTTTACTGTATGTTTCAAAACGACCAACGTCCCACGCGAGATTTTAATCCGTTTTCCCAAATTATCAATCAGTGGCATAAAGTTCAGGCTGTTATGTGTGATTCAAACTCTAAAATTCAAGACCATGACGCGTAAATTATGAATCATATTATGTACAAAACTGAGACATTTATTATACAAATAATAGGTTCATAACTGATTAGCAGTAATCTATGGATGGGAAAAGATAATAACAACTATCAATGAGACAAATAAAAGCTTATAATTAAGAGAATATAAAACTACCGTAAATCAGTCGTTTAACAAATGCACGGTAAAAAAATATATTCTAAACACCCAGAGAACGGCTCCAAAAGTCTCGTATTTCATACTTATTTTCCTCGTCACAGAACTTTCTAAGCATATAATTTGTTTGACTTTTCAATTTATTCCAACTTAGGTATACCTGAGTAATCATATGAAGGAAGAATTGAATGCACAGGCATTTTTAACTAATTTATACAATGAATATCGAAAGTAAGCATATGATTGCAGTTTTACACATATTCTTGTTCGGTAATCTAATATTCATTTGCAGTATTGTGTAGAATAATAGTGAATCTCAATAGTTTTGAAAGTAGTTCTATTTTTAATCTTTGTTAGTACATGAAAATGCACATCTCATTGAACTTCTCAATGTTTGTTGTATATAAGATACAATTATAAAATTCTTAATTCACCTGGTATGGTTTTACTTGAATCTTCCCATTGATGTTTAGGACTGAAATTGATCAGTCTCTTATTGGCATATGTGCATACTGTGCTAAGTGGATAACGCGATGGCGTTTGAAGCGAACGGTATTGGGTTTGAGTCCCAGAGTGAATATCAAATCTGAGATGCAGGTACATCCAGCTGACGAGTCCCGAATAGGACGAAACGCGCGTCCGAGATTCCATTGTTAGCCACTATCCATCTTTGCTTATAAAATTTTTGTTCAGAGCTAATCATCTCCTTTATGTGTTTAAGTTTTACGCTTGTAAGTGTGGGATGTTTATCACTGTAAGCCATCGTAGATTTCAAGTAGACTTTTTTATCATGTCATCTATGACGATACTGTTGTCAATGCTTTTAAATATAAGTTCAACACGTACATCTGTTGCTCACTATCTAACCAAATACACAGTTTTCATTGACTAGGTCAGTTAATTAAACATTATCATTTACACCCTTTTTACCGTACTTTACTTTCAAAAGAATGAATGTAATTAGTTAACTCAAGCAAATGTTGTCAATTTCACTGCATTTTTTCTCGTACATCGCTATTTTTTGGCCAATGGTTTATGTTTTGTTTTCGATGATAAATAAAATTCATTCATCTGTTAATTTATTGTATCTTCTTAAAAATCTAATTGGAGTTTTTTTCTTATTTCAACTTTGGCTGTCATACATAAAATTCTGATAGTTTTATGTATCTATTTTGCAAATTTCAGCGTTGAAAAATTGGTTGTTGAGTTATCTAATGAGTTAACCTTAATTACGGATCCAATGCAACTGTCCAAATTATTTCGGGAATTATTTGCTCCATATTTAGTCGATTATATGAAACGAGAATCTGACTGGTTAACTGAACGCTTAACAGGTCATCTTGAACATTATTATCAAAGTCAAAGGCATCAAAAACGTGCGCTAAATGTTTCTGGGTTAGTTTCAAAGTTTTTCATACACTGTTACAATTTAAAAGTGATTAGCTCTCAATAATAAAATCTTACTGATATAGTAAAGTGAATATTCATAGGTGTTCATCTAGCTTATGAGGAATAATGTACTTATTTCCAGTAACATCAATAAATATTAACTATTCTGTTGTTTTTAGCTTGGCTGAATTTCGACGAGACCTCCAAGCAAAGTTTCATATCACTGGTGGTGATCGATCACAAAACGACTACGATGTATCGTTGTTATCAGAAGAAGTCGCTGTTAATATTATTGAGGATATTCGGCGTGCTGCCAAACGATGCTTGCTGGTAAGATACTGAAACTTGAACTTATTTTAAAAATAAACATACTTAAGATGTAGACAGTAATAACTTAGTCATGAATGCTTGTAATAATCTCCAATCTTTTTACATCGGGAATATGTTATTTCGAGAAATAGGTAAAATTTCGTTAAATACTAAACTTTTTAGTATACTTTCGTCATATAATGAGAAGCCTTCTTTGGTTTCATTATATTTATGCAGTCTCTTTGTTGAAGATTTATTTACAACTTGAGACTATTTACTTCAAATAAAGTATATGGTATTCTGAATGGATTTACACTTATACGCCAGTTTTTGAAACAATCATCTATTCATCTCTATTTTTCATCGTTTACAGTGGCTATGATGCACTTATCCTATGTCTAAAAATGCCTACTTATTGTTCCTCGAATCCGTTCTTTCTTCTTCAGTTATGTTCTCTCTGCTTAATCTTTTCTACTGTAACTGGTGCTGTTACTGCTTCTGTTATCCTGGTACTATATATCTTGATAATCTCATATGACTATGCTGATACGGTATTGAAGTTGGGACCAAAGAACATATATGTTAGGTTTCATGTTTGTTATGACTGAATGAATTATCATTGGAAAGTATATTTTCTCCTATTTTTGGTTAATTGTTTATCATTGATATAGAATATTTATTAGATGAAGTTGAGGTAAGAGTAGAAATGGTTCTTAACATTTTACGTGAAATATTTAACTAAAAATATAAATATTAGAATTTATTCAATTTATCAGTAAATCCATTGCGAAGTCACTCATCAACCAATCAGCATAAGCCCTTTCATGTTAATGAATAAAGAGGTTGTACACTAGTTTGTATTCAATACAAGTATTAAAATAAATAAAATTTTAAGTTAATTAATGACCATAATACTTCATTTCATACAGTTCACAATGTGTAAAAATAAAATTTTTATAGTTACTACTTTTTAATCCACTTAATTGTTCTGTATATATTTATATATATTGTTCAATTGCTCTATAGTTATCCCAACCTACTGCTATTCCAGACAATGGCAAATTCATATTTACTTGTTTGTATCACTATCTAATTGTTGAACACGTGGATTATGGTGTTACTTTAGGTTTGCACGGTAAGTTCATTGCATCAAAACTAATTGTGTTCTTTTTTATACGAAAATTGAGATTCTTGTACTATTTAGTCTGTATATGTTTATAATATAACAATTAGATCTACAGTTAGGTGTTGGAATACTAAGCCATAAATACCATCGATAATATAGAAATGTTATCAATAGGATAACCGTATTTAATAGTCATCAATTCGTGTAAATCAATCAGTAATATCATTAGAACAAAACTACAAAGCAGTAATTCACAGGTTTATCATATAATTTAGACGTTGAACAAATATCTCTTCGATTCTTTAGTCATATACTTCGGTTAAAGAATTAACAACCAAATAGGACTTATTATTCATTTATTTTAATGTATTTTTCAGGAAGTGAGCAACTGAAATTGATCATTCTTTAGCATATTTCGAGAAACGTGATAATTATTATATCTGAACCAAAATCTAAACGATACTTTTAAATTTAAATACTTTAATGTAAAACACGTCTTTTGTTTGAGATTGTAGTCTACTACTTTGATGCTTAAACTTTGGTTAATAGAATCGAGTTCTAATGACACTGATGATTTAATATCAAGTACATGGGCCCATCAGATGACTAGTATTTGGAACCAAGTTTCCCTTACACTGGATATTTACCCAGTAAAACGAAATACAGCTTCTTATTGACGTATACTTTACAAATTAGCATAGTTAACTGAACATAGTTTGCTACACAAAAATAATGCTTCCCATATTTGAAAGACAAGTACTGAATTTATTAAATGACAAAAAGCTTTATCAAGTCAAATCAAAATTACTGGCTATACATTTTTCCTTGAAAAAAGTAAAAATGTGATGTTTATGTTGGACGTACTTTGAGTACTAACTGTTCATACAAAACCCAATTTGTGTGTTATCGATTTTAAATAGTATTAGGAAGAGACAAAGTTGATCAGAAAAATGTGATTTAATTCCATTATATGTATTAAACAATCTGATCCCAGTTATACTGATAAAAATATTTTACATGAAGTTGGAGAAACAATGAAAAAGCATTGTAGTTTGTCTCTTTCCCTACAGCCACATCCATGCATTATTTATTTATTTAAACACATAAACATTGGTTCAAGGAGGCACCAAAAATATATGCTCCACACTTCGTCATTCGATTTGTGAGGGCTGGAATACTGCCTGTGTGCCCAAACGGAAGCAGATGGTTTTCCTAGAGAACCACTCCCCCGAGCCTTTAACCTAGAAGTCCAGTCCACAAGGCACTGGAGCAACGTTAGGAGATGTAGTCTCATGTTAGCCGATGATCAACAATAGGTTTATAAGCCATCTGTTCCATTAGGATCCTGGAGCCCATGTGCACCATAGGTTTGGAATCAGGGTTTTCGAACTCACCCAGGTGAATTCTCTGTATCTAACAACCCGGTTAAAGCGCCGGAAATTCGCTTTTCGTCCTCTCGATTTCGTAAACAACACCCTAACCACCAGAAGGCAGTGGGTAGGAATAGTCGTTAAATTAACTATCCATCAGTGAGGATCGAGTTGTTTGTAATGAGGTTAGAATTAATATTTTTAGGGAGTTTTAATCAATAAACCTTTATTTTCATGGCGAGTCAATAGTTAGCTTTAGTTACCTCGCTCAACTAATTGAACATGTATGGATAAGCTTGTTATTCGTTTAACTCAAAAATACTTTATGATTTCTCTATATGATATATCTGCTACTGGAACGATTGCTGGTGACTTCCTATATTGTTTTTTATCCTCAGACTACACTTAAACTAAACATTGTCGAAAGGCATTGAGTAAGGATAGGAGCGTTCACTGTTAATTTACTTGCCAAAAGAAAGCTTGTTTATACGTTTATGAATAGCAGTCCACTCAAAACATGAATTTTTCTAGATGTTTCTAGGAATTTTCTACTTAGTGCTGATCGGATAGTGTTTTCAGCCTTTCTGAGCCTCTACAAGCTTTATTGATATATTCTTAAGAGCTCCCAATACTATACTTCCAATAAAAGTGTCTACTATGTTACGTAATAAAGTCATATTTCCCAGTATTCTGGAAAACCCCATTCTAACAAATAATATACTGTTCACTGATTAATAGTTCATTTATTAAGATTTCTATGTAGATTCACGTTTTAAATTAACTAAATTTATTAATTTTTCTGTAAGTGGAGAGAAAGTGTAGAAATCCTGTGAACTTATTATATTTTAAAAACAATTTTGTTGTTTTTGATGGAGTTTTGTTCTCTGAGCAAAACCATCCAGCTCAGAGAACAAAACTCCATCAAAATCATCCACCTGAGCTACAAATCTTCTCCACCATCACACTTTTATTGTTTTTTTTTTAAAGATTTGTAAAGAGCTCTAAATGGATCATTATGAATTATATTAAATCGATAAATAATGATTAAAACTATAATAGGGTGTATAAAATAGTAAAAGTAACAAGTTTTCACGCTACAAGTGGTTAAAAAATCAAAAATAACTATTACTATTGTACTTTTGAATCGAAATTAGAGTGTCCTCGATCACTTATTCAGTCATTTATAAACAATGCATCACAAATGTATGTCGACTCATGTTGCTAATCCTCGTCAGTACAGCTAAAAGAAATTAATTAGAAATGTATTAAAGGATTTTTAATAATTATATCACTGGCAATAAAAAATAAAACGTAGTGAGTATGGTTCGTATAGAATTAATGAAACATAGGAATAAAACGAAATCTTCACTTTTATTTCTAGCTAAAACTTTTACAAACCTCATAATAATGAACTATTTGAGGATTTTCATATCAGCGTTAGAAATCAGTTTTGATCACGAATTTTCATCGGATGAAAAAAATACCCAATTTCAATCAATCCACAGTATTACGCGATAACAATTGTCCAATGTTATAGGTGATATCTACCTCAGTTCAAATATGGTTGAATGAATTTTGAAATGTTAACGATTGAACTCCAATTAAGTGGTTCGTATATATCGTTCTGATTACGAAGCCTGAAATTTCGTGTATTAGGTTTTGTGTAGAGCAGTGTGTAGACTTTGTTGAGGGTAAAACAGCTTCTTAGTGCTAAATCTTTTTTATGCTTTCCCAGCTTGCCTAAATGCGTGGTGAAAACTTAGTTAAAGATGAATATTCTCCACGAAATCCCATTTCCGTAATTACGTATGCACTGCTTTTTAGTCAGTCTACTGGTATTAGTATTTTGCATTTTAGTTAGACATTTTCGATTCTACCTGTAGTAAAAATGGAAGTATATTTTATTAAGGCGTTTTTGTTGTAGTGAATAAAAGCTTTTAAACCTTAGGTATTACGGTTTCAATTTGGGTTTTTTAAAAACAGTAGAGTGGTACAAATAACTGTGAATGCTAGGCCAAATAGTCCTAGCACAGTACATTACACTTAACCGACTGTGATCAGAGATAATAGAAATTCGTAGTTAAAACATATAACTTAAATTAGAAGCAATCGTTCTTTTCAGAAGTCCATAAAAAGATTTCTTAAATAAACCACTTTAAGTAAGGGCGAAACGGCCATCGAGTGCTTCCAGGTTTCCAATGATGCTCTAACATTGATCGGTTCATTCTCAATGAAAACTCAACAACCTCCACAACTCTATACTGATCGTTAGGTAAGATACTCAAGTTGGTATAATTTTGTCATATTTTCATATACTTGTTTGCACATAATATTTGAATGGCTTTTACGTTTTGTAATATCAGGTTTGAATATAGCCGATCCTCGAAATAACAATCCAAACCTAGTCTTCTTCTCCATAATTCACGAAGCCACATCCATTTTTCACTTTTTTGAGAAAACAATTGATGAGTCCATTTTACCAATGATTATGTGAGTATTTTCTGAATAATTTTTTGTGCCACTAAAGTTTTTAAAAACACCTAAAGTACATAAATTCAGTTTTTGAAAGTATGAGTCTTTTTAGTTGACTATGACCTAATAACCTATCTTTTTCTAATACTGTTTAGATTATTTGTGAACATTTATATTTTCTTGTTGTTGATACTGGAGTCTACAATTGATTAGTTGCTATTGGCTTATGAACACCCCTAGAAATTGTAATGCTATGGGACGAAATGTGCGTTCTGAATTCCATTACTTGCTTCGAAACTTTGTATCATACTTAGAAATTTTGTCCACGAATATGTTACAATTATGGATGGAAATATTTGAAAGATTTAATATTTTTATCTCCCTGTATTATTTTGATTTAATTAAATCAGCTCATAGTTTAACGCTCAACTATGTATATTTTAAAATGCGATTTACTACGAAATCAATTTCAGCATAATATTCCCATTGTCAGGACATTGTGATCTCCAAGAGTCGAGTATTATTTCAGTCGATACAGACTACCCGACCGAAGCTGCTACATTGACGCGGTGGTCGGGTTTGCTTATCGTGATGACCCAACCGAGCTATATTGGCTGGAACATATGTTCCTGTAGGTTCTACCATGCCACGCAGGTCGATTGGAGAACGGTAAGACTAAAAGCAGCAACTCAAGATCTGAGGGCGAAGTCGTACTGCTGACTGTAGAGAGGTGTGGCAGCAGTAAGGTGTTTCCCTCGGACAACCAGCATGACAGCGATGCTGCCTTCCCACAAGGAGGGGTGGGGTTAGAAAAGGTCGACCCTAAAAATGTCACACCTCACTTTACCTCACGGATTTCCGTCTCCGGCGGTAAGGCCCTTTGAAGAACGGAGCTAACACGTCAAAAACCTTCCACAAAAAGGCCGTGCGCGACCGGTCTCAAGTAGTTGTCCCTTGGGCTCTGCGGTCACGCTCCCAGGTCGTTAAGACCAACACTAATCCAATTTCATTTTCAGGTTCCTCAAGAAATACCCTTCCACGGTGTGGGCAGCCGGGAAGTGACATCAGCCCTCATACCCGTAACAGCACACGAGACCAATTTGGTCACATTCAAATCCTTCCTACACCTCCTAATACCTCTCTTATCTCCATGACTAACCCTCCTCACATCCCTTTATCACCTCGGACCGCTAGGGCAAACGATTCGAGTACGCGGAATGCTATTCCTGGTCTCCTGAAACCAAGCTCTAAACTACACGTAGGAGCTTTTAACGTACGAACACTGTGCCAAATAGGACAACAGGCTTCCCTAGCTAGGACTTTAGAATCTCGCTCCATCGATGTGTGCTGCGTCTCCGAAACGCGCATACAGGATCCAAGTAGCGTCATTCATTTGACCTCACCATGCCAAAATAAAGAACCGACTCGATTTACGCTTCGTGTATCTGGAAGCCCTGATTCTGCTTCCCGTGGCCTCGCCGGCGTAGGTATAGCATTGAGTCCTAGGGCAGAACTAGCTCTCTTAGAGTGGATCCCAGTAGACAGTCGTTTGTGCGCAATGAGATTAACCGAGGTCTTAGATACAATTTGGGAACTGGACGTAATCCCATCTGACTGGTCTCAATCACTGATTGTGTCAGTCTGTAAGAAAGGACAAAAGTCCTCTTGTGACAATCACAGAGGAGTCAGTTTGACTAATATAGTGTCTAAAATATTAGCTTCAATAATACTTCGACGCCTAATCAAAGCTCGTGAAGAGCAGACTAGAGAAAATCAAGCTGGTTTTCGATCTGAACGTGGTTGTATAGATCAGATATTCACACTACGTCAGGTTCTAGAAGACAGACACACATTCAGACGCCATACAATGGTAGTATTTCTCGACCTTAAGGCGGCATTCGACTCGGTTGATCGTGAGGTTCTATGGCAGTGTTTGTCACTGAAAGGAGTACCAAAGAAGTACATTAACCTTATACAGGCTCTCTACTCGAACACAACTGGTAGAGTGAGAGCTTATGGCGAACTGTCATCAGAATTGATTACATCAAGTGGTGTTCGTCAGGGCTGTCCACTCTCTCCATTCTTGTTCAACTTTGTGGTCGACGTACTTTTAGAGATAACACTCTCCTCATCTAAATTTCCAGGAGTTGTACTTTTGCCTGGAGATTCACTTGTTGACTTAGAATATCGATGACATAGTTCTATTTGGTGAAGACGCTGACAAAATACAGTCTTCTGATCACTCTAAGCAACAAGGCAAGCATGTTCGAGATGCGATTCTCTCCCTCGAAATGCGAAATGTTGCTTCAGGATTGGGTTGCATCGACACCTGAACTAATGATAGGGAGTGAAGTGGTTGAGCGTGTCGACCACTTCCCTTATCTTGGGAGTCCCGTCAGCCCTTGTGGTCTGGTGTGTGACGAAATCTCAGCACGGATTCAGAAGGCTCGACTAGCTTTTACCAACTTGCGTCATTTATGGCGTAGGCGAGATATCCGTCTATCAACCAAAGGACGTGTTTACTGAGCAGCAGTTCGTTCCGTCCTACTTTATGGCAGTGAAACATGGCCGGTAAGAGTAGAGGATATTCGTAGGTTACTAGTATTTGATCATAGGTGTCTTCGAAATATTGTTCGTATATCCTGGGACCATCGAGTAAGTAATGTAGTTGTTAGGAAACGGGTACTAGGTAAGGATGGCAAATCAATTGATGACGTAGTAAAACTTCATCAGTTGAGATGGCTGGGATATGTGTTACGTATGCCCAACCACCGACTGCCCCGACGAGCGATGTTTTATGGTGTAGGAATAGGTTGAAAGAAATCTAGGGGCGGTCAGACCAAAACATGGCACAAGTTCATGAAGTCACTGTCAAGTGGATTGAGTCATGTTGGTAGGTGTAGACTACCTGGTTGGGGACCGCGAGATGACAGCAACCGATGGTTAGAGACCCTGAATGAAATGGCTCAAAATCGTTTGCAATGGCGCAGGTGCATCCACTCTCTGTGTTCTCCCAAATTCTAATCTTCTGAATTCTTCATGTCCCTTTCTTCCTCTTTCCCAATTTCTTTCACTGGATTATACTCTTTAAATAACATCTCCAAACCCTAATCTTCCCGATTACTGCTTATACTCTTATTACCTCTATCACTACGGGATTTGAATCGACAAGTGCATCTCTGTGCTAATGTGGTGTGGCAACTCGAACTGATGTACGTACGTACGAAGTTCTACGTTGTTACTGACTGACTGACGATACAGACTAGTACTACAGTATAGATAAATGTCATTCAAAATTCGCATCATCCACTATCTTGAATTCAGTGGCATTCTGACACTGTTTATCTAAGTTGAGTGATTTATTTTGACCTGATAACTGGAACAATAAAAACCTTAGAAATGTTTAGTAAACCAGAGACTAGAATTGATTGACTGAAAAGAAACTCGGAACTATTATTTAATTACTTACTCCACTTACCCCTCATAAGAGCGTAGACCGATGACCACGGTTCTCCTGGACTCTCCTTTCTAGTTGTTTCCAGTTGCTGTTCATTCCTTTGATGTCTGCCACCGATTCCGGACGCAATGTGTACTTGGGTCCTCCTCTTTTCCTTTTACCTTAAGGATTCCAAGTAAGGACTAACCTCATGATGTAGTTTGATGATTTCTGCGATGCATGTCCTATCCGCTTCCTAATTTCATCTTCATCTGGAAGTTGGTTTGTTTTCTGTCGCAGTAGGTTGTTGCTGATGTTATCCGACCAACAGATCTAGAGTATGTTGCATAGGTAATTATGCATAAATACCTGTACTTTTCTGGTAATGGTTGTAGTGGTTCTCTACGCTTCGGTTCCGTACAGTAAATCTGTTTTAATATTTGTATTGGGATTTTTCACTTTGGTGTTTTGTGACAGTTGTTTTAAGTCCCATGTTGATGTGTGGGCGAGGAAAACGGTGATTATTTTTTGTCTAGTCAGATTTGTAGATAGTTTGACAGGTTTTAGATGTGTTAAATATTTTCCTACCCTTCTTATTACTATTTTTAGTTGTTGACGTGGAAATATACCCACGTTTTAGTCATGCTCGTCACGTGTTCCTGATCCGACTTGTGTTGAAATCCTGTAGAACAGGCACTGGAAAGGAATCTAGTGAAGACATTCGTCTAAGGGAAATTATTGCTCCATTGGTGTAAGGGAAAAAACCCAGCGTTAGTTCAATATGTTTCTTAATTAAAGGAATGCTTCCCTTGCTTTGCCAATCCGTACTTTCACTTCTACATCAGATCCCCCCTGTTTATCAGTAATACTGTCCAAGTACGTTAGTTTCCACCTGTCCCAGATCTCCAACAAGTTCAATCTGGTTGGTGCTCTGTGTTGAATTTTAGGATCTTGTTTGTTCCCTTGTATAAATTGTGGCCTACTGTTGCTGCACTGGCCGTATTCACCTGCATTTTTTGTTGTGTATAGGATCTGCGAAGTCAAAATCGTCTAGTTGCATCCAAGCTGTACATTATATTCTGAGATCTTCATAATCCAGTCAACCATCAAAAGAAAGTGAAGGGCGAAAGTAAGCGACCCTGTATGACTCCGATCCGCACTTGGAATGCATCTGTCAGCTGTCCTCCATGCATGACTTTGCAATGTAGTCCGTCGTATGAATGAATCCCGCATGATGTTGACGATTTTCTCAGCTACTCACTCTATAGTGTCGAAGATGGTTCCATAAAATTCTCCTATTCACAGTGTCAAATGCTTTCTCATAGTCATGTAAGTTGTTGTATAGTGACAAGTTTCGTTCAATTTATTGTTCACAATGATTCGTAGTGTCGCGATTTGGTGTGTACACAACCGGTCCCTACGGAATCCGGTCTGTCGATTTCGAAGCTGATCGTTTACTAAATCTCTCATCCGGATCAACAACACTGTTGAAAAGCTTTTCTAGTACTAACAGTAGTTTGATGCCTCTGTAGTTTTCACATTTGTTCAGATCTCCTTTCTTTGATATTTTGATGAGATATCCTTCTGTCCAGTCTGTCCTCATTTGTGCTCCGTCCCAAATCTTCCTGAATAGAACACGAAGCATGTTTGCAGTTGTTTCTATGTATGACTTGAGTGAGTCGGCTGGTATGCTATCTGGTTAAACGTGTGCTTTCCAACTGATTTGTCTGATGGCCATCCTGATTACTTCGGTCGTTGCTGGAGTAACATCCATAGGGTAGTCTGTGTATGTTGCTTCCATGTCCGTCGGGTTGTGTGAAGTTGGTCTATTCTTGAGTTCCTCAGTGTCCCACCCATCTGTTCTCGAATCTCAGTGATTGACCTACCTTTTTTGTCTTTGATCGGTACCTCTGGTTTACTATATTTCCCTGTTGGTTTCTTTGTCGTCTCATATAGTTGTTTCATATTTCCTTCTCTTGCAGCTTTTTCCGCCGTCATTGCTAGCTGTCCCACGTATTTCTGCTTGTCGGTTCTAACGCTGCTCTTCACTATTTTGTTTGCTTTAGTGTATTCAGTTTGTGCCTTGACTTTCACTGTTGAAAACTTTTCCTGGTACCGGTAGTAGTGTGATGTTCTTGTAATTCTCATACTTACTCTTCCCTCTCTGTTTTGAAGGATGCTTTGATAATTCTAGGATCATGAGTTTCCCATCTTATTAGCACTTTTCACGCTTCTTTGGAGAATATCAATGCAATTCCTTTCGTATGCGGGGCATTTTCTTCATCACTAGAATACAACATCATTTCTCCCGAAGCTATTATTTTCTGTCCAGCTTGCATGAAGTGGGTTTCAATTAAACCAAGCACCACCAGGTTCTATCTTCTCATTTCCGCTTCTATTTGAATAGCCTTTCCGATCTCCCACTGTATGTGAACGTTCCGTGTTCTGATGTTAGTTCTTGCTCTGCATCGGCCACGTGATTTCTGAAGAATCTCGGCTTTCATTATGAGGCATCATAACTCTTCTAAATAAATACCCTTCAACTCTCAGGACTCCGAGAGTGACCTCTCGAAGCTAGTCACTAGTGAGTAGACGAAGTTAGGCGTTAGTACTGTTGGATTCAGGCCCAGTGGTCTAGAGGTTAAGCCTTCAAACGCGAATCTGAAGGTCCTGACTTCGAATCCTGCGTGTAGGATTGTGGGTGCGTACCGCTGAGGAGTCCTATAATAGGAAGAAACGGAAGTCCAGTGCTTCCAGGTTTCCAATTGTTCCTCTTTTTCATCTTATTAATATTAGTAGTAGTGTGTCTTGTTAATGCCCTTTACATGTTATGTTGTACAATAACAATTTCCTTGGAACAAGATATTTGTGTTTAATTTTTACATTAGATCACTTGAAAAATTAGATGCAATTAATATTATGTTTATTTCAGTACAAACCCATCATATGCAAGTGAAATATCTGTCAAACGTAACGAATTGAAACAAGATTTGGAAGGCAAATTCTGTACTGGCTTAGAAAAGTGTCTAAATCTGGCTATTTCTCGTGTCCAATATCTATTATCCAGTGAACAGCGAAAAACTGATTTTCGCCCAGATATAAATGCTAACTCAGGAATAATTGCCGGTAATCCACCATCGCTTGTAAGTTTCCTGGCTAGTAGTTTGTTTACGAGTTATTCTAAGCAATATTTAACTAAGTTTTCTGCTGTTTCACTTTCCACTTAATAATGAGTATTTGACTCATAAAATCCGATCAAAATACGCTTTATTATAAGTTACTTTTTCATCAATATTAGTTTGGGGACAAATTTGAAGGTGTGCTGTAATGTCCTGTATCTTTTCACAGAAATAATATATTGTTATCTCGTGTTTATTTGCAGACTATAATAAAAATCTCAAGACTGATCCACTCCTGTATTTTCATTCATCTTCAGGGGCAAATCCAGAATCATCTACAAGTCTTTGTCGCTTGTTCGTTGTATGATTGAGATGATACTAAATACTTCCAGCCATTACTATAGATGTAGCTTCAGCTCTCTAAGTCGTTTACTGGTGTTTAACTGAAGATCCCTCTTAAGATGGTAAAAGTTGAAGGATAATCTTTTAGTTTGAGTCATACTTTATTCTCATTAGAAACATTCATTACATCGCCCTCTACAATGTCCCAGAACACTGGGACATTTATTGGAGACTCACAATCATATTTCTTATTATCAAGGCCGCCTTCGGCTTGTTGAACAAGACTGGTCTGGAATTATCTTTTGTGGTAGTGTTTGCCCGATAAGTTTATGGATATTCTGAAGGTGCTGCACACTAACACCTCTCCGCTGTTCCACTCCGACAGTGTAGTTATGTAAAGTTGTTTAAAGTTGCCACTCCTTCTCAACTTTGCCTTTGATAACATTCTGGAAACAGCTGTGATGGAATTTGGTAGTAGTGATGTGGGTATGTTACGTGGAGAAATTTTCAGACTTTGAATACGCGGATGGTGCTATACGATTATCCTTAAGGTATCTTGATTGTACTTGATCGGATGACTATCGGTCTACGTAAGCATGGCATGTATTCTGCACATTCAGCTTGCAAAACTGACAGAATACTGTCTGTACCAGTACTTTGTAGTGATTCTTTAGAACTAGACGAGGTGTGGATATCTAGGTAGTTATACGTATGCTAGTGGTGACACGACAGATGAATCCAGTCTATGTATAGTGGAAATCACAGCACTCTATGTCAATCTAGACTATCTTTGGAGTTGTTGTTTTAGTTTAAATGTAGGAGGTCGTGCATAAAGGACATCAGTAAGGACAGTTCTGCTCTGTTTATCAAAGTGGTCTTGAGTGCTGTCAGAAGTATGAGGGCGGTTATCACTTCCTGATTGCACACACCGTGGAAGGGTTCTTCTGGAGGTACCTTAAAAGGAAATTGGATTAGAGGTGGTCTTAGTTACTTGAGTTATTATTTTTAACACATATTGGTACAAGAAGGCACCAAATACATATGCGCCACACATATCTCATTTCATATGTGAGAGGGCTGTGATACTGCCCGGGTGCCCGAACCGAAGCAGGTTTTCTTGGGGGGCCACACCCGGGGCCTTCGACCTGAAGGTCTGATCCACAAGGTAGTGGAGCATCGTAAGGACATGCACTCCTATGGTAGCCGGTGATCAAGTAATTGGTTCATACGCCATTTGTTCCTTCAGGATACTGGAGCCCATGTGCACCGTTGGTTTGGAATCAGGGTTTCCCAACTCCCCTAGGTGGACTCTCCATGTCCACCAACAGGGTTAAAGCGCCGGACATTCGCTTTTCATCCTCTCAATTTCGTAAACAACAGAAATGCCACGAGAAGGCAGTGAGTAGGACTTGCCTGGCAGAGGCTATATACGCGTGGCCATATGAGAGCATTTCGAGAGGGAGGGAGGGCCTCCCCACTCTCGGCCGTACCAGGGCATTTGGGGGAATGACTCGGAACAATTGCTTGAGGTCAGTCACACACGACCTTTTTGTGAGTAATTTTCGTGTTAGCTCCGTACTTGTTGAGATCTTACCGCCGGAGACGGATATCCGTGGGATAAGGCGAGGTGTGCATTTTTAGGATCGACCTTTTCTAACCCCATCGCTCCTTGTGGGAAGGCAGCATCGTTGTCATGCTGGTTGTCTGAAGGAAAGCACATTACTGCTGTCACACTTCTGTACAGTCAGCAGTACGACTTCGCCTTCGGACCTTGGGTTTGTTGCTTTTGGTCTTGCCGCTCTTCAACTGACCTGTCTGACATAGTAGGACCTAGAGGAACGGTTGTTCCAGCCAGTATAGCTCGGTTGCTTATCACGATAGGCAAGCCTGATCATCACATCGAGGTAGCAACAACGGCCTGGTCCTACGTTGTAACTGACTGAATAACCGATGTTTATCAAAGCTAGCTCCTCTTAGATGGGGATATCTGATTATTGTCTTGAAGGTGTTTCTCACATCCGATAACAAGACCAATTTTTAGCAGTCCCGAGGTCAGGTAACGCATGTTCGGGTGCAGTGACGGTCATTATTTTGATGCCAACATGTTTAGAAACTCACTTCGGAGGATTGGATATATTTTACGAACATTATCCCTGCGAACCCCCACCACCACATGTTGCTCGTTGACCCTAGGACGCTTTGAAAAAGGAGAAAGGTGGTTAGTTTATGACATGGTGCCACATTATTGAAGAAAGGCGTGTGGGGCTGGTATCTGTTCGTCCCATCACGACTCTCTTTTCGAGGTCCTAGAGATGGTGTAACTCAGTGGATTGGGACATTGTCAGATATGACGTGGAAAAGAAATTGTGGAGAAGATACGGACTTCAATGAAATCTTGGATCAATTTAGTAATTGTCACCACTCAATCAAATTGACACTAAAAGCAGAGACTAACGCGGAACCTCAGTTTTTCTGTTGTCTTGTTGAAAAAAGGCCAGATAGTTCCTTATGAAAATGTACATGTTTAAAACCGACTTCAAGTAGTTAATATATTAGTTTCTTTGGTTGGGTTCCATTAAGTAGAAGGAGAAACTTAATTCACTTATACTCGAGGGCTAGACGAATATACTATCATAGCAAAATAGATGACGAACTACTCCAACTTCGACAGATATTCATCAGAAATAGCTATCCACATAGATTGATTGCTAGAAACTTAACACCAAGCCACCGATAGTTCTAACAAAATTTTTTTATTAATATCGAATTTAGGTGATTTATAGTTTCTGAAATCTTGGATAAACGGATTTCAAAATCCCTGAATAAAACCTATTCAGCCAAGCTTCGTATTGCCTTCACAAGTCGCCCTATCATTCCCGGACGTGTTAAGGATGAACTCCGGCGTGGGGCCATACCGATTTGCATCCATAAATTTACTGGCTTTTGTGAGGCAGGTTACACTGGGCGCACAAAGCAAACACGTCTCAAAACATTACTTGTCGTAGTTTTTAAAAGGGGAATGAAAAGCTACCACTCGCTCGATAAAGGAGCGCCTGATCGACCCTAGTTATTGTCGCTCTGGAGGAGTCGTCCTTTAAAATAATCCATACAGTTGAAATGAGTCGAATCAAAAACTTATGTAGTGTTGAGGCGCTGGGAATCCCCAAATTTAAGTTCGAACTCTGTTTGCAAAAACGATTCGCCCAACCTCTCATCCTTTCTTGGCTCTGATTTCTTTTTCCAGTGTGTTTTAGTTTTGTTTTCATTTGTAATTTTTAAACCTTAATCAGTTATTACTATTCCATGATTATTATCTACTAAGTGGACAATTACCTCTTATGTTTCTGATCCGTACATTATTTTCGTCCTCCTATTCTTCTTCAATCTATTGATCATTACTCAACCCTATGTAATATTTGAAATCCCGGATCACTTGATAATTCGATCTCTTCTATCCCTCTATAGACTCCTATATTTATCAAACAACTATAAATATAAATGTACAGCTTAATTAGACGACTTCATTGAAAAGAATTTTATTTTTACTCAGTAACTCAATCGGTTACTTTAATTATGTGAGTATTTTTATTAAATGTTACACTTGTTCACCTATCAACTGATTGTACGATTTTTTCCTATTTCGCCATAATGTTATTACTTCGTTTGCGTAGTGCACTTTTCAAGTCCCCTATTTTACTAGAATTCGGTTGTGCTATAAATCTCTCCATATCTAGTTAAAGAACCGGACGTAGTGTTCTCTCCTCATTGGCTTGTTTTTTTACGGACCCTTTTTATCCCATAGCTTGTATCACTCCGAAATACTACGATTTGTTGCTAAATGTTATTTTTCTTAACAATATGCTAGGCATGTCAACATGTGGTTGCTTTCGTAACCCACATCAACCGCGAGACTCATCAACACCTAGATGGTCAAAATTTAAAAACATTTTTACATGAATTTGGAATGAAACTAAATCGCACATTGGTAGATCATTTTTATAACTTTACCTTTTCTGACACAGGTAAATATTCATTCATGCTGTAGAATCCTTTTTCTCTTCTAAATGAATCTGAAAAATTTAATGAAATAGTCTCGTATTTCAGAGCTATTGATTTCATGTGAAATGATGAAAAGGACACGTAAATATTTATAGTAACGACCTACTGGTTGTAGAATGAAGCCAGCTCATCCTTGTCATAAACTTTCTCATCATCTGAGCAAAATCCCTACGTAAATCAAAATGCAACATAACAGAATGTTAACTTTCTAAAGAATAAGGAGTCTGCTGTGCATTTTACTCGGGTGCATAAGAAAAATGAATTTTTCAGAACAAATTAAGTTCGGAACTTGATGAAATGGAGGGGTTTTTTTAATTGGAGTACATGGTTCACGATTTCAAGAAACTTTATGTAGGAAAATGTTGATCGAACGTACTCGGATCGAAATTGAGTGTTAACGCTTAGTTTCATATGTACGATTTCTTCCTCTTAACTTTAGAAAATACTAAGCTACGAAGTTATGCTGTAGTTTATTCAGTTTCGTTCAATTTTTTATTACGCTATATATATAAATACTTTAATTTGATATATACTCATGTCCAGTTCCTTGTTGTTTGAATGGAAGCAAGGCAGTGTTTCTTTAAGAGATGGGATTTCTATTCCTTTCAATCTATATTGATTAACCTAATTACTACATCTGCGACTATTCAAAAGAAGTAATTACTCAATTTATTAGTTTTATTATTATCAAAACTGGTTACTCTAAGAAACTATATATACACTTACTTACTTACGCCTGTTACTCCTCGTGAAGGAGCATAGGCCACTTACCAGCATTCTCCATCCAACCCTATCGTGTGGAATCCTTTCCAGCTCTTTCCAATTGTTATTCATCCTATCGATATCTGCTTCTATTTCCTGACGTAATGTGTTCTTTGGCCTTCCTCTGTTCCGTTTCCCTTCAGGATTCCAAGTTAGGGCTTGCCTCGTGATGCAGTTTGATGATTTGCGTAATGTATGTCCTATTCATTTCCATCGTCTTCTCCTAATTCCCTCTTCAACTGGAAGCTGGTTTGTTCTCTCCCACAGAAGGCTGTTGCTGATGGTATCCGGCCAATGGATATTGAGTATCTTGCGTAGACAGCTATTTATAAATACTTGTACCTTCTTGATGGTGGTTGTTGTAGTTCTCCAAGTTTCAGCTCCATACAGTAGAACTGCCTTGACGTTGGTATTGAAGATTCTCACTTTGATATTAGTTGAAAGTTGTTTTGAGTTCCATATGTTCTTCAATTGTAGGAATGCGACCCTTGCTTTGTCGATCCTCGCCTCTGTGTCTGCATCTGAGCCTCCTTGTTCATCGATGATGCTTCCGAGGTATGTGGAGGATTCTACATCTTCCAGAGTTTCGCCATCAAGAGTGATTGGATTGCTGTTCTCCGTGTTGAATTTGAGGACCTTGGTTTTCCCCTTGTGTATGTTGAGGCCTACCGATGCAGAGACTGCTGCTACAATGGCTGTCTTTATCTGCATTTGTTCATGTGTATGCGATAGGAGGGCTAGGTCATCTGCAAAGTCCAAATCGTCTAACTGGTTCTGAGCTGTCCATTGTATTCCGTGTTTTCTCTCAGATGTCGAGGTCTTCATAATTCAGTCGACCACCAGAATAAAGAGGAAGGGAGAGAGTAGACAGCCTTTTCTGACCCCGATCCCTTCAGCATATCCTTAGTTCTATTTCAGACTATCAATTCTACGGAATATTTATCAATACATTTATTAGCTGACCAGAATTTGAGTAGCTGGTACATTACGAATTTCAGACTGTGTGGAGCCATAAACTATGGCTCAGCTTATTATGATCTGGCGTAATTCTTAAATGTTTAGTACCATACGCTGCAAAACTTTGTCTGTCGAGACCTCTTCTGTCAGTCAGGCACCTACAACATAGGACCAGACACATATATAGGTCGGTCCAAGTTGCTACATCTCATTAGCACAGGATGAACAGCAAATTCTCAGCAGTTATTTCAATGGTAGTAATATAAAAAAGGAAGATTGCACATAAGGATATGATACAGGGAGAAAGAATTAGTTCGTAAAAAGAAAGGTATAAAGCAGTTTTAATCTGTATATACTTACAAAGTTGTGATGGATTCTGAGCCATGTCACCCAGTCTCCAAACATTGGTTACGATAGTCGCGCGGACCCGAATCAAGTAATCTTCATCTGCCAACATGGCTAAGACAAGAAGTTAGTGACTTCAATCTGCTGTCAGATACATATATATGTCAAGGAATCGAAGAAATCTATGAGACGAGGTCTATTTAATTGATGACGAGAAAGTTTGTTGTTCAAAGTTTATTTTCCAGAAACGGCGAAAACCACACGTATCTTTGTTATATACAAGCACTATATGCTTAGTCTTTCATGAAACTTTTCAAAGCTTTCAAGGTTGGGTTGTGCAACAAATTAACTCAGATCTGCACTTTTCGTAAATACAACAGTTTACAGAACCTTACATGTAGTCAAACATCAGTACAGCATTTACTATGAATTACAGCTACCATCAAGTGTAGCTAAGCAGCTTAATCAGAGATACATTGTTCAGCACTTTATATTTAGCATTCGAACATCTGACCTAAAGTACGCTAATTTGTTAAGTTTTGGAGTGTCCAAACATAACAGTGAATTACAATTTTGAAATTTACCTCTGCATAAAGGCATATTACTTGCCTACTTATTCATTTATGGTAGTTTACTTTTCAGTTATTCTCTAAAATAGCTGTTGTTATTTTATACAAGTTGTGAACTAAATTGTCATTTTTCAGGTGGATTTGTTGCAATGCAAGATGTAACCGCCTACCGAGAAACCGCAAAGCATTTTGAGAGTCCAACTGTTAATGTTGTTTTCGATGTACTGTTTAAGCTGATGAATCTCATGTTGATTAAGCCAGAAAACGTACAACAAGTTGTTCAAGATTATTTGCAGTCAGGAATGCCAAGAGATTTGTTGATGAACTTCATTCAACTCAGAACAGATTATAAGTCAGCGAAGCTACAAAATGTGATACAGTTCAAATCAACAAGATAATTTTTCATTTATTTATTATTAACAATTCGTGTTCTTCAAGTACTCCATAATTTCTTCATTACTTGCACCATTTTTAAACATTTCAGTTATTTTTTGTGAATATCGGTTATTAAATAAAACTTCAGCTGTTAGTGGTTCTTCCTCAATTAGCTTCGATTGCCATGAAACGTAAGGTTTTAGTTCACATTTGTCCAAGTTGTTAGGTACAATAAAATCTAAGTACATTTCAGGAAAAATAATTTTTTGACCATATATTTCCATGGATGTTGTTGGTTCCCTGAAAACTAAAATTAAGAAGTTAAGATATCGTACCTGGGAATCCAAGGGTATTTTGCACGAGCCTTGCTTTTTTTTAAGTCTAACATCCAGTGGTATCTTGTCTTAAAGGCAATTTTCTGACGAGACCTTAAAGGTCCCATTGCTACATTGATAGTTCTTATTGTTTGTGATTTGTTAGAAATTAAAAAACTTGGGATCAACCTTGTACACTGCATTACCTAGGGAATCATGGTATAAAATCTGTAAGATGATTGTAAGCTAAGATGTTACATAATTACTATTACACAATAAAACACTTTGGAATCACACCCCTGAACACGGAGCTATTCGATAATTAAATTGTCATAATAGATCACGCTTGACTAGTGTATATCTTGTGGCTTATCACTAGATATTCATGCCCAAATAAGATCAAGTCTTTCCGAAACTATAATACAGTTTAGTCACACACGGTCAGTCAATAACGACGTAGGACTTGTCGCAAATTTGTATCACTCCAAGATGTCAAATTTTATCACAGAGAGGAAACTACCAAGATTATGATCATACGTGAATGGCAATAGAAAACTAGAAGTAAGAAGTTCATCTCAAAAACAATAAAAAATAACTCACGAGAAAATTCATGGGATGGTATATCAGATTTGTAAGACATGCAGTATATACAACTGCATCACTATAATCAGTTTTGAACCCGGACCTAACAATAGATCGTGCCCATTGGACGAATACTGACCAAGAAGCTTACTCATTTCGACCAACAGTCAGTAGCTTTATATGCCGATCTAGTGTTTTGGTCTGCATGTTTTTGCTTTTCTCAATGTTACTCAGCATTTCAAGTCCGGTTAGGGGATATTAAGGCTAAGGTTAGGGTGCTGTGCAGAATTTCAACCCACCCAGGTGTTTAAGGTATGTACTACTTGCGCCAATTCGAAGTGATAAAAATTCATGACAGGTTCTAGTTCGCGACATACCAGAGAATGATTTATACACTACCTAAAAGTGCAAAAGTACTGTTCGGCAATCGAAAAGAATTTCTTACAAGCAGCAAAGAGGAATTAAACGGGATTAGTCTCTGTACTGTATAAACTTACGTGTTTGTATAAAAAGTTTTGGGGGCTGAAAGTCCGATACCAATCAGGAAAACAAAAACTTCATAAGACGATAACAGTAACTGGAAAATAATAGACAGTACGCTGCGACATTAATTTTTTTTCTTGGGCTTTAGGGGCCGAATAGCGCTGGCACACATCTGGTTGACTTTGAGTAGCTTAACATAGTACGTGAATATCATCGAAGGGATAAAATACAATATAAAGATTTCGTTTGACTTAAATATTACGGGATACATAATTCCGAGTTTTAAGCAAAACTAAAAGCTTTCTGTATTAACGATCACCTTACAAAACAAGTTGAGTAGTACAGACGATTTGCAAAGACCTAACATGTACAGTCTCAAGGACGTATATCAAATACGACATTGGTAATGACAAACTGCAACAAGTGACTTTTTTCGAACTGCGAGAACAGTAGCACTTGACGCCGGATTGAATAAATTGCCGCAGTCTGTTGAGAACGGCAGGTTAGCAAATATTTTATGATGTACTGTGACGCTGAGTGCGACGTCAACAAACTTTCTCTTACGAAAATGGAATTCTGACTAAATACAGGCAGGAATCTTATTGTATGTGACGTAGCTGCTCTTTGAAAACTTTATTTTAAATGTCACTCAGTCGACCATACTGGTAGATTAGAAAGATAAAGCACTTAGCCCAAGCAATAAATCCGATTTCAAAGAGGATCTACCGAACCGTTAAGAATCAAGAGTAACTCTGGAGCTTTTACATAGCATGCTTTGAAAAATCCCATTATAAACGGGTTGGAAACCAACAACTTGTAAACAGGATTTCCAAATTGGTCTAAAATGAGTAGAAAATCACTTGTTACGAGAAGATAAAACGAAGTCCATGCACTATGGAAAGTGTTTATCTTTAATACATCTACCAAAGCGTTTGGTATTGTCACGAAGTTACGTTGCTTATAAGAGCCTAGAAATCTAAAATGCAGAGGATCAGTCCAATCATCGAATTTCAAAAACAACAGCTGGTAGCTGGCAATATTTCACGATCAGAGTTAATACTCAGCAGAATTAGCTGAATTTTTCTAGACGCAGAAAATTCACAGGCAGGACAAGACAAGAGGAGAGAAATAAATATACGCGGTTATCAGAATGACGAGAAATTTATTAGCTTTTCAACGAAAAACAAATAAAAGATATGTTGGTCGATAGGAATTTGGAATTTTTCAAAGTAGACTGAATGCCTTTGAGGTGGCACAATATTTTAGGAGCGGGACAAATTTTCAACATTGCCTCGTGGATATTTCTACAAAACTCACTCATCACTATGGCTACAAGCCAAAAATTCTTAGTAGACGGGTTTGGTAAATTTAAACGTCAGATCATCGATGCCTGTTTCTTGATGAAAATAATAACTACAATTCCAAATCTTAACGCCTAATATTGACTAGAATTTTTACTCCGATCCTTTCTCGTAGACTATATGAAATAATCCACTATTCAGTCTCCTGTTGTAGAGATAGTAGGTCGTCTGAAATTTAATTTTTGCATCTCATTTCCCAGTGGAAATCCAGATTATCCATGTCAAAATACTCCATCCCTTGAGATTTTATTTTTTTTATGGGACGAATGTTTCCCCAAATTTTGCATTTTCATTGGCCAGAACGTCTCTCGAAACTGTTAGATTTGTTTGAAATTTTGCGATAGTATTGGATCTTGAGGAAGACATTAAAGTGTACTCGACTATCTCTATCTACCAGACATTAAAGTTTAACTTTCAACTTTTGGTAATTCTTCGTATCTATACAAAAAGGCTATAGCTTTGTGCTACGTTGAGGGATAGTGATCCCTAGCACACAGATATGAAAAAATCTGTAGACGAAAATAAGGAAAAAAAGGGAGTCGATGACTCATTAATCACGTAGTATGCACCTATATTCATTGATCTAAATAACTGAAGACAAAAGTACCCCAAGAATGGGATCAAGACAATCTGAACTAGAGAGCGATTACAAACTCCCTCTATATTTGTGAAGGACAACCAAGATCCAATATTGTTGTACAGATCAAATTTGTATAATGAAATATAAACACTAACAGCTTGTCTTACTCATTTCGTACAAATCCTTGATGGATTTATAATGTTTTCTTTATTGATTCATCAGAAGGTTCGAACATCAATCCTTCTAGCAGTAGGTTTGAATAGTTGATTACTTACACCTAGAACTGTGCTTAGTGGAATCAAATGACTGTTCGTGAAGGGAAAATACTGAAAACATTTTTCAACGTCATAAATTCAAGTTTATCTTGTTTTTCCTGAGGATCTTCTCCTGAGTGGTAGGAGAACATTCTTGACGATGGAAGGTGATTATAAAATAACAGAGTAGACATCCTCATCAGGCTATTGTTAAAGTTTTTCCTCTAGGTGCTGTCAGTACTACTTCTCGTGAGGTTTTTGATAGCTTGCCGGCTTTGAACACGAAAAATGTTCGCTTGGTCTTTCGGGATAGCTCGTTAGTGCGTCATCCCATATGAATACCCTCCTCAGAGTGGTTTAGTATTAGATGTTATGAGCGATCTGTCTTGAAGAAGTGGATTATAGGTGTTACAATACATCGAGATTATATCCCTCTTAACGCTTTGGCACGGGTTGCAAGGATTTTTAGGCTTACTGAGTGGGGTTTTAACATACTTAAATGTGCTTTAATTTGAACTCCTTCTAAGAGAGCGGTATCATTCTTGTAGCGGTAAATAAATCCCCAAAATAAATAGCACTAAGTTTTCGACATTTGATGCTGACCATATGTTTTGGTGGACTCATCTAGCTGAAGGCGCTCGGTCAGGCATCTGCACCAGATCACGTGTGGTAACGCCGTGCTCAACATCAACCGCAATCGCTAGCCAGATTAGATCAGAGAATTCCGATATATTGGTCATCGCCAAATATACTCTTCCAATCTCCTTGACTCTGTCTTTTGATTTCTCTTGGCGGGAACGAAATATATTAGAAGGTGTTACTGGTAGAAGCGTTGTCAAACACTGAATACCTGTGACATAATCATTGTTGAAACCGACGTGATCTGGTACACCTAATTGCAACTGTGAGTCTGTTCCTTTTTGGGACTTTTATATATCATTGCCTTATTTTTTATTTTTTTAAACATTGTGATTTTTTTTCGTGGTTTTTCCTGGATATATATATTTTCCCCTCGTTCATTATCGTACTTCATACTTCGTCATGACTGAACAGACACCTAAAGTACTCAAGCTTAAGACTTTGTCCCCGCCTTCGTTTCAACTGATGCCTTTCTGGCCCGACAACATCGAAGCCTGGTTTTGCTACGCAGAAGCCGACTTCTCCGAGCACGGCGTGATCGACACACGTGCACAATTCCTCGCAGTAGTCAAGGCACTACCGCGCGAATTCAACAGGTACGTAACACCTAGTATGTTTACTAGTGATGTTTCCGATCCTTACGAAATCTTAAAACGCTCGATTCTTAAACGAGGAGATCTAACTGATCGACAAAGGTTAGATCAACTCTTCAATAACATCGACCTGCAATACGGTTCTGCGACGGACATGTTGCAACGGATGAGAGAGGTTATAGGCCCAAGAACTTTCGACGAAGGCCTATTCAAACAACTCTTCTTGTCAAAACTTCCCCAACAGGTGCAAGCAGTTCTGGTCTCGTTCCAGAACAACGCCTTAGACGAGCTAGCTGCATCTGCCGACCGCATTTTAGAAATTACGAAATCTACTACCGAGGTATTTTCAGTCAAAGAAAAAACTCAAACGACTCAGAATGATATAAACGACTTATGTCACACACTCACGCGTTATCTTAGTCTTCGTACCGACCGTAAGAGATCGCGCACACCACGTAGAAGCATTTCTCGTAAGCGATCTGTCTCTAGACCACGAGAGACAGATAACCCCGACTGGTGCTGGTATCATAACCAGTATGGAAAGTTTTCCAGAAATTGCAGAAAACCCTGCAATTTTCCCAACACGAAACCGACTGATTCGAAAAGCAATTCGGGAAACTTCCAAGCCGGCACGCGTTAACGGCAACCGTAGCCGGCGAACAAAGCCGTCTGTTATTCGTCACAGATGTGACAACGAGAGTTCGCTACCTCGTCGACACTGGCGCAGAAGTTAGCGTTCTCCCAGCAAATCCTAACGACCGACTACACGAATCGACCCTAAACTTACAGGCGGCAAACGGAAAACCGATCGCTACGTATGGCAAGTGGTACGTTTACCTTAACGTGGGTTTACGCAAACCCATCCACTGGATTTTCGTTGTTGCAGATGTTTCTATACCAATCATTGGTATGGATCTTCTAAAACACCACAATCTGATCATCGATACGCGCAAACGGAGGCTAGTAGACGGAAACACTAATTTGTCCGTTTGCGTAACTTCTTTTACTGGTTGCAGAGTATCCCCAGTCACAGTTAAACATATGATAGACCCACTCTATCAACCACTACTCGATAAGTACCCTGGCATACAACAAACTCAAACGAAACTACCGTGTGTAACCAGCAACGTTACACATCACATCACGACTACAGGACCACCTGTATTTTCTAAAGCACGCCGACTAGCTCCTGAAAAGCTAAGGTTAGCGAAAAACGAATTCGATCACATGATGGACTTAGGAATCATACGACCGTCAAGTAGCCCATATGCATCTCCGTTGCACATGGTCCCTAGAAAGGACAGCAACGATTGGCGTCCAACTGGTGACTATCGGCGATTGAACGCGAAAACCATTCCCGATCGTTACCCGTTGCCTCACATTCACGATTTGACAGCTACCTTGAAAGGTACAACTGTCTTTTCGAAAATCGACTTGGTTAAAGCGTATAACCAAATCCCTATGGCTACTGACGACATACCGAAAACGGCTATCATAACTCCCTTCGGACTCTATGAATTTTTGCGAATGCCTTTCGGTCTAAGGAATGCTGCTCAAACATTCCAAAGATTCATAGACGACGTTTTTCGAGGTCTCAACTTCGTACACGCGTATGTTGATGACTGTCTAATCGCAAGTCCGGACAGAGAAACACATCTCAAGCATCTGGATCTTGTTTTCGAACGACTTCAAAAACATGGCATAACTGTAAACGTTCAGAAATGCCAATTCGGAACCGACTCGTTAGACTTCCTAGGACACACTATCGATGCTCAAGGCATTCGACCTCTTAGGACCAAAGTGGCGGCCATTCTGGATTACCCAGAACCGACCACCGTCAAGCAATTGCGCACGTTTAACGGCCTGGTAAGTTTCTATAGACGTTTCATACCCAAATGCGCATTACTTATGAAACCTCTGACCGACCAACTTCGTGGAAATGCGAAATCCATTAATTTGGACGACAACGCACGAAAAGCATTCTCCACAGTTAAGGAACTGATTGCTAAAGCAACAATGCTCGCACATCAGGACACCCGAGCACCCATTAGCATCGCAGTAGACGCATCCGACTCAGCAATCGGAGGAGTCTTACAACAATGGGTTAACAACTCCTGGCAACCCTTGGCCTTTTTCTCTAGAAGGTTGCTAGACACCGAATCGAGGTACAGCACATTCGGTAGGGAACTCCTAGCTATGTATTGTGCTGTACGGCATTTCCAACACTACATCGAAGGTCGTGAATTCACTCTTTTCACGGACCATAAACCGCTCACTTTCTCGTTAAGCTCTCCTTCTGACAAGTACTCTCCCCGTGAGTCTCGACAACTGGACTACATTTCGCAGTTTACTTCAGATATTCAACACGTCTCTGGAGCAAACAATGTAGTTGCAGACGCTTTATCTCGTATAACTTCCTTGAACAGTTTCCAAGGAATCGACCTTCTTAAACTCGCCGAGCTTCAAAAAGAAGACAGTGATCTTCAGCACGAGTTATCGTCCACAACACTTAAACTACGCATCAAACAGATGGGAACAGGTAAGGAAACCTTACTTTGTGACACATCTACAGGTAGGGATCGCCCAATCGTGCCGAAACATTATCGACGCAATGTCTTCAACACATTGCACAAACTTTCGCATCCAGGTGTTCGTGCAACCATCAAGCTTATAGCAGAAAGGTTTTGCTGGCCTGGAATGGATAAAGACGTGAGGGAGTGGGCACGCTCCTGTGTAAGCTGCCAAAAATCTGAGGTTATCAGACAAAATAAATGTCCCTTAGGCTCGTTTAAAACTCCCGATGCTCGTTTCGACCATTTTCATTTGGATTTGGTAGGACCTTTACCAGATTCAAATGGATACTCTTATCTCTTAACCTGCGTTGACCGTTTCACTCGATGGCCAGAAGCATTACCTATCAAGGACATCACTGCTGAAACAGTGGCTCGCGCCTTCGTCGAACGATGGGTAGCAAACTTCGGCTGCCCTTCAACCATCACTACAGACCGCGGACGTCAATTTGAATCTGATCTTTTCCGTCGTCTGACCACTCTTTTAGGAAGCACTCGCTTCCGAACGACCGCCTACCATCCACAAGCAAACGGGTTGGTAGAACGTTTTCTACGACAACTGAAAGCTTCGCTATCAGCTGCAAACGTTTCACAGTGGACCGACGCTCTTCCACTCGTCTTACTAGGTATCCGCAATGCAGTGAAAGCTGACATTGGATACACTGCGTCTCAACTCGTTTATGGTACGACACTTCGACTTCCAGGAGAATTCGTGGATCCTTCATCCTCTTCAATGAACATGGATCTAACCTCCTACACGAACAGGCTTACAAACGCAATGCGTTCAGTTAAACCTGCTTCCACTCGACCTCAATCAACTGATGTTTTCGTTCAACCTGACTTAAGATATAGTACACACGTTTTCGTTCGTCGAGACTCGCATCGACGACCATTCGAATCAGCATACGAAGGACCCTTCAAAGTTCTTCAACGTGAATCTAAGTACTATATAGTCGATAAGAACGGAACCAACGATAGCATCAGTATCGATCGCTTAAAAGCAGCGTATTTAGAAGGAAATCCTATCTACGTGGATTTTCCTTCGGTACAA